ACCACTTGCTCCGATCAGCAGATACAATGAAGTCAGTGATGCTGACTTATCAACAGAAGTTCTTGACCCATAGATAATATGCAAGGGTGGGATCTCCAATTTTGACATTTCATCGTCTCCAGAAGACTTTAAGTAGCATAACATGGGATCAATATTTATCTCTCCATCTCCTGATACAGAGGAGGTTTGATCAGCATTCGTCATCGTCGGTAACTCAATTGTCACATCAGTGACATCCAGATTATTATCAACGTCATCATGATTCAGTTCTGTCAAACAAGTCGCGTCGATTCGGTCTGCTCTAGCATCCGTAGAGTGGAAATCTTCCATTTTTGTATAACTCATATCACTACATGAAAGAACAGCATTAGTATCGCAATTCGAAACTGATAAACTCACTTGTTGTTCTCCATGTTCCGTTTCAGAGACACAACACATATGCACATCAATAGCATCGTTATCATGCAACACTGTAGATTGGTTGTTACCATCAGACGCTTCCTTCTCATCATCACTTGACTGACAGTCAACCGAAATAGGAACACTTACAGTTACACAGCCTTGTGTATCCTCAATCAACTTAACATTCGCGACAAGGTCCGATGACGTCGAAACACTAGAAGGCTCGTTCGATGAAGTTGATAGACTAGTCACTATAAGAGGACTGCTCACGCTTTCTGTCTCCTTATTATCGCTGTCACTACTAAAATTCTGATGACTACTATTTCCATTGCTAGTCATAGCATCCGAAAGAGAATGATGTCTAGGCTTCTTAATAATAGTAGCATCATGTTGTTTCCTAGGCTTCTTAGCCTTTACAGTACCGCCATCACTTATCCTAGAATCTACTCTAGGTCCCGTTATATAATTTACCCTAAATAAAGGGTTCCGAACATAGGCTTTATTCCGTCCAGACAATCCTGCCTGGGCCTTATTCATATTTACTGAACTCATTAACCTCTGTTTACTCGAATCCAAATAACCGTTCCAGGCTTTTCGAGCAGTTAGGAGGCTTTTATCATCGCACACTTCGGATCCATCTTGATGCCTACACTTTTCACCTTTTTCTTTCTTTTCCATACTTAAAAAAGCCAACTTATCTGTTACACCAACGGGCTTCTTACTGGGATACGCATCAAGAGGTTTTACATCATCACGGTCACATACTCGGCCTTCAACAGCCTTCAAACCGATATAATTGACAACTCTCTTATATTCCGGGCGTGAGTTAGGTAGAAACGAAAAATCCTCATGTCTTGCACGCAGACCACTAATAGCTTCCGTATTATGTCCTGTTTTAGCCCGATAAGCTAATCTTCCGAACCTACTACTAGCTACCTTAGCACGAGACATAATAAATTCCGTCAACTCATTGAAATTAGGCTCTCTCTCCTCTTCGAAACACTTGATTCCCAGCTCTGCCCACTGGGCTTGCATTCGACGAGGTAAGAGCCTGACTATTCGTTCTAAAGTAACCAGGGAATGAAGTTCCGTTGCACAATTTAACTGTTCTAAGGTTAAAGCAGCATTCTGCATTTTAATGGCCAAATTTGTCAATTCTTCAGGATCATTAAAATCTGCATTCACGGTTCTAAATAAGTCCTCTAAGGTTTCACGGGCTATTACATGCGACTGTCCAAAGAGCTGTTTTAAAATGGCCTTAGCTCTCTTATATCCTGCTTGTGGATCCATTATAATACAACCTTCAATCGCATTGTTTGCCCTTCCTTTACAGTAGTGAATTAAATACAATAAACGCAAATTTTCATCTTTTATTCTGGGTTCTATAAACGTTTCAATTTGGCGCATAAATCTAAAATAGTCGCAATTCTAGGAGAAAACGGTCTGTATTATATTAAAAGATGGAAATACAAAGCAATACCTGGAATTGATGCACCTTCCAGGTTACAATTACTCCCAAGAGTATCCAACACAAAGATGAATAAGTGACGTTAAGTCCAACCGCCACTGTATTAATTCAAATATGGCTGTAGCCATATTGAAGATCAAATTTAAACAACATATATACAGTTCAGAAGCAAAAATAAAAACTTCAATATAAGTACAAAATATAGAAATAATAACAATATACAATGATAAATTCTCAAATTGGAATCAAATACAATACCAAAAATGTCAACAGAAAGAGTCCGTCATGTCATAACAAAAATATGTAAACATGGAGGGATTTTCCAAAAAGCAAAACATCCAAAAAGGATTCTACAATGAAGACTTACATTAACTTCCTGACGCCTGTGGCGGACGAAAATGTCAATACCGTAATTTTTACAAAGTCATTATAAACAAATGTCGATACGATTAATAATATCCATGAATATAAATACACAAAAATAATGGATTTCACTCATATCGACGGTTGGAAGCGTATTTCGTTTTCCGGGCCTCACAATACACAATAATAGTAAGAAGTCAATAATTACAAACACAAAGCTTATAATCCAAGATAACGTATATTTGGAATGAACGGTTTATGAGAATAAAAATGTGATTTGTAAATATAAGCACCAATTATACTGTTACTTTGACTGCTTGTTAAGTAAGAACTAGCAGTATGTTAGCAGCTGTGTATTTATGAATGATGGTTTGTCCATCATGAAATAGGAGAACAAAATAGTAACGGAAAAGTCAAGGTTAAATGTGTACCAGAAATCTATAGCTAATGACAGTGACTATGTGTGGTAGTCAAGAGTAACTGTACTCCATATACAAACAAGAAGCACCCAGAATTGTTTGATTCATACTCTAGTCATCATGAATGGACTAGTACAGAATACAGGAAGAACTGCGTGAACACACGAAAGTATTGCTACTCGAATTCGAATTAGGAGCGTAATACTGTATGGTGCGCGCTACTTATAAGTAGTATATGACGCGAGTGATAAACGTAATATCTAGCAGCAGAAGATGGGGGAAGATCAAGAAAGGAAGAGTTAGAAAACAATCGAATTTGTATGAAACGCATGAACAGTGAAATAATGTCAGACAATGGATTGATGATGGATTGAAGATTTGCAAATTAACCGTTTACGATATGGTTTTCCTATTTTACTGAGTAACTCTGTAATTTTCGTTAAATACAATTCGGTTGCCCTCACCTGTGTTCTCCTTCACTACAACTGTACAAAGGAATCATTGTTGCATAAAACCGTCACATTGGATAAATTAAGTGAAATCAAAAGAAAATGTGAACAATAACAAATATTATGTTCAAAATAATTCTGTTACCCATCTCTATACTGCTACCTAATATGTAACCTTGATGTAGTTCTTGTACCAAAATCAATAATTCCATACATCTAGGCTGATTATTCACATCAGACATATTATCCCGTTATTATTTCATTGTTTTTTTCTGTAATCCGTTTCATAATTAAGTAGTGTTTTCTGATTAGCCGATAAGTTGCTTAAGATAGTCAGTATTACCTAACTGATCTCGTATTAAATGTGTTTGTGTAAAATAATAAGCGTTTGTATAGGTTTAACCTACTTATACAAATTCCAACACTATTTGAAAGAGTTCCTAGTTTTCTCTGTCTTCATTCAGTTAGTCGTCAGTACTCAAAGATCAGGAGTTAGTCAACCTATACTAATCCTTGCAATTTATAGTACTGTAAAGATCCAGTCTTGCTTTGAATGTAACAACAGAAAGGGTTGATATTACGTATTCTAGTGATTCTAGTAATTCACTACTTGATTGTAGAAACGTAACTGCAAACGTGAATTATTCGTTAATAATATCAGAGATAAGGAGGTGAAAGCATGAATGTTGAAATTATGGTTGTAGAGTTCAAATCTGTTAGAACTCTGGATTAATCTTCTACATACACATAAATCTGGCAGTTATTAACTCACTGAGTGAAATATATTTCAAACACAATAACTCGGCAACCAAATAGTATTAATGAAAATATCATACTTGTAGAAAGTACAAATATACAATAGTCGAATATCCTCTAACCAGATCTATACAAACAACATGTTTTCGAAATTGACGATAGATCAGTTAATTTCATTCACTTCAAAGATGTTCAGTCAACTACTAGATAACAGTTATACTGAAGGTTACTTTTGATTTAATCCAAAGGTGGATGATCAAAGTTTAAATAACAATGTATGTTCCTAACAGACAGGAAACATGACTTCGTTCCCTTAGGAGTAGTCATTTCAGTGAAACAGACAGTAACTATCAAGAATTCAGTCACTCTATATGGCGATTACAGAATTCAAAAAGTTTGGCCAGAGAAAAGCAAACGAAATCCCTAAAGCTCTTAAACTGACCGCAATCCGGAAAATAAAAACACTCTTAGTAGCTTGATTCGTGATTGACTATGAACACTACCACAGACCAATTATTTTCCCGTCACTTATCGTAATCCCTCCGTTAATCAAAGACAGAGAGGAATATTTAATCCAGAAAAGGTTGTATATTTGTTAGCGATCTCGTGTTATCCAAAGAATACTGAAATCATGCCAAAGGAAAAAGGGTGAAAATACCACGAGCAGAGTAACCAAAATGGCAGTGACGCAAACGGAAAGTGTCTGTACAGAGTGCGAATAAACAAATAGTTTAGTAAATCAATCACTCATAAAACTGGTTATAATTATAAATGTTTCGATTCATCAAATAGAGGTCACAGGGTAAAACATATATGATTATGAATAATTGCTGTGCTCGTCACTTGCTATGCTTGAAACTGTTACAGGTTCACCTTAGTCACCTTAGTCAATGCAAACGATTCGACTACGCGAAACATTATTCCTGGCTTCCTGAACCCCTGTTCTAAACCACATATTACAGCTTTTACTGTTCGAACCTTATACCGAATAGGACAACAGGCTTCCTTAGCTAGGACTTTAGAATCTCGCACTATCAATGCATGATGCGTCTCCAAAACGCACATGCCGGATGTGAGTAGAATCATTAATTTAACTTCACCTCTTCTAAATAAAGAAGGCTACCTGACAAATTTACACTACAATTAAGCAGAAAAAAACAAGAAACTTACATTTTTGGAAGCATTGTTGACTTTCATTGATAAGGCTTTAATTTCTCGTTCTAAAGTTTTTACTGTATTAGAAACTGGTATTGAAAAATTTAAAGTTCCATAGTCATGATTAGAAAAAGAATTATCTGAATCTAGACAACTTAAATCTGTCAAACTTGACAAAGAAAGATTGTCGGGTTGAGTAAATGAAGAACTGAGTAATTCTCTGGGATCTTGATCACTAGAACTTCTTCTTACATCTGAATGATAGCTTCTGAAACCAGATACAGAACTATGAGGTGATGATGATAACGGTTGTTGAGGGAGGTGATCGGTAGTTCTGAAGGATGAAGTATTTTGACAATCGCTCGTAAGATGAGATCCAATATCCGTAGAAAGATTATAAACTTTATTGACATTATTTTCCCTCACTCCTTCAGATACATTATAAGATGGACTTTGTGTTGGTACATTCTCTGGTGAGTAATGATTCCGTAAATGAGGAATAGAGTCTGAATTATCAATAGATGATGTTACAGTGTTTAACTCATTGAGACCATCACAAGACAGATCATCAGCTAGGTGATTGGTGGAATCTATGCTAACATTTGGACGAAATCTAACCTGTAAGAATGAAATCTCATATTTTATCGATGTATATTACCTGCTTAGATGAATGATGTAGTTTATCTGACAAATTATTTTTTAATAGGCAACCTGACAATCTTGGATAAGCATCAATATTTGGATTAGTTGACGGTAGATCAGTAGTTTGTTCAACATTTGACGATAAAACGTTTTGCTTTAACATTATGGTAATTGACTGCAATAAGGCATCATTGAGTGAGTACCTAGTAAGTGGTAGTAAATATAAGAATTTGGTTGTTTTAAAAATACTTCAAAAAAAAGAACAATGAGAAAAAATCAAGATCATATTTATATAAATCAAAGCAAGTATTTTCACTCTACATCCAGATCAGGTTAATTTTAATTGGAATTCCAGGTCAATATGTCAAGGATGTTCATATTCACGGTTTCACAGGTCAAAAAAAAAACATTAGCTCGGAATAGCCAAAGCTATCACAAGTCTTTGTTTAGTATAATTTACTGGAAAATGTCAATCAGTCAAGGAGACTGATATACAGTTGTACTAAAGATGTGCTAGTGTCAGTTCAAAATGTTCGATTAGTTAAGAATCGTCTTAACATAAGCTCAAAATAAGTTCCATATACAATGCAGAATTGGAAAGAAAATAGTCGAATCAACTAAGTTGCGGGGATTGTAAAATACTTCTCTCCAGAGTGTTAAGAATGGTTTTCAGAGTGATAGGACGGTTTTGGATAGTCATTAGGGTTCTGAAATAACAGCTTATAGTTTGAAATTTCAATAACTGCAGATGATGATCGGGATTTATGGAATAATAACTATCTGCCAATTTTGCGTGTTGTCACTTGAAGTCTGCTACAGTGGTGTAGCTGCATTTATACTTTGTTCATCCCTAAAACTTAAGCTACGTTCTATTCCGTACCTTTCGCTGTTAAACTAATTTTTATTGCTCTACTAAAGAGAATACCATTTACAATCTTCTTTCATCCTGTTACTTTCAGTGTGGCCTGAAAGTTAAGGACATTCGCACCTGAACATACATTGTCAACAACTCAGAAAATAAATATGAAAGCGGAGCTTCTTTCCTTTATTCTGATACAGTTAACACAGTACTTGGTTCGCTGCAGTCAAAATACGTGCCTTGAGAATTTGACGAAAAACGTCACCTTGGTTTTGAGCAAATGTACAAAATGCTGATTAAGACTGAAGCTGAAAACTTAGTGAACATGAATCAGCATATAAATTATTTACTCCAACTGGACGGAATATTTGGTGCTTACTATAATAGTCTTTATTTCAGCACGTTATTTCACGACATAATACCGTGGACCAGTTTCGAATAAGCCTTTAGTAAGAAAGAGGAGTAGTACTGACCGTACTAGAAACTGTTACATGGCCTTGTGCAGATAAATAAGATAAAAACTTTGAAAGGAGATAAAACTACAGAACGCAAGTTGGTTATAGTTCGCAGGTAATAGAAAACACACTATTCTCCTGGAAAGAGTAATTGAAATCACCAAAAAGACTACACATCTCAAAGAACGAAGGTCAGAGTCATATTTGCTCTGAAACGTATCCGGATAGAACCATTTAGCGCTAAGGAAATCGATTCGTGTCATTCTACTATTAACTTCACATCATTTCTAACTGAATGGTCTGTCGAGGTGAAGGTTTCTTTAAGACGAAAATGTGCATTACATAGGCGTTAAACGGCTGGTTACTGGTTACACTGAATGAATAGTGACAGCAAGTTGTCAATAACGAAAGGACTTTACCTTCACATGATTGAGTCGTTACGTAAGAAAGCTATCATGAGAAAAGACTTAGATCATCAGAGCATCAGAAACAACAGTACCAGTTATGGCATATCAAATATAATTTGTTTACTCAGTACAGAGATTCATAAGAATTCGCAGTTCACAATCGGTATGAACTATAGATAAACCAAACATGGTACTTCAGGGAACTTCCAGGTTCACCCAAAATATTTGAGATTTTCCCAAATTTCGTTGAAAATTCTGGCTACATTTATCCAAAGTTTATCATAAGAGCTACCTCCAAAATCGATCGAAATTTTCAGTTCAGTTAGAAAATTAAGGTTGTACATTATCCCAACACACTAAGTTTTAGTTACAATAGATCCATATATTCAAGAACTGAATGGCAATCAATAAGATGATGAATCCTTAAAGTTATCCTGAGAAGGATGTTCCTCTAATAATATGTCTAATTTCTCAAATTTTGTTACTTAGTTAATTATTTAGACTTTTCGTCAGTTGTCACGAGATATCTAGTTTGTTTCTGATTAAGGAAAAATTTGGTTTTTGTAAAATGAGTGCAGTTTTCCTGAGCAGGGATAACATACGCACTTTGCAGCAAGTATTGCCCAAAGACTAGTTGACCTTATCGTAACAACCTACTTCACATTTTCGCAACTGTCCGACATTCAATGGCCAATATCTTTTTCACAAGCTAGAGCACAACCATTGATTTCTTTGCTCCCGATTCTTGTTCTTTCAGTATGTTTCAAGGTGGTTGGTAGTTTTCAATGAATTGGGGTCTAGCCACTTGACTGCCTAATACAAGTCAGTTGGTATTTGGTGATGAGTTTGTATGTCCCGTGATTTGAAGGAATACGTTTTTTTCAGGGCAGTAGGTTTTCTGGATAACAGAAGCTATCAAATTATCAGACCGGAGATCAGTTAGTTTGGTTGTGATCACCTTGTATGGGAGATGGGATGGTTCGGTCAACAACTCACATTTTGTTAGTTGGGCGTGCCTTATATTTTCCATGCCATAATCAAATCACCTCCGATTCTCCTGTACCTCAGAGGCACTAATCCCAAGTGGTGGAGTCTATCTTTGTAAGATTTATTCCTTAGCCACATCGACCATTTCGTCGCTCGTTTATGTGCTCAATCAGAGAGATTTATGTCTCTTTTAATTAGAAGGGGCGTGACGACGTTGTGAACCTAAAGGTGTGGGGAAGCTAAGACCGATTCTTCGGTGATAGCACCAATCCTTCTTCAGATAAAGCGAAGACTTTCATTAGCCTTTTCTGCGTCACCTATATAGACCAAACTGCTGTGGAGGCTCTCAGTATTTAATAAACCTGAACCGCTCTCCAGAAAGATGTTAGGGAGCGGATTTCCATTAGGTGTCTATGATTTGTCACATGGAGCAGGATGTATGCAACATTACATTTCGACCGTTTTAGTTTTAAACCGTTTTTTCACTACCCATTCCTTAATGGATGTAGGCTCCTTTTGAAGCTCACCTGAATCCTCTTAACTTCTAACAAACCTTCAGATCCATGCATCGTCTGACGGGATCAATCCCACCGAGCTAACATCGTCTAACAGGTGTTAATGAATATCAGGAAGAGAAGTGGACCTCAGATGGTCCCCTGTGTAACCGTTGATGTTGAAACTCCCCAACTCACATGCACCCTATTTACTTTGGTGCGAAACTTCTTATTCTCAAGGCAGTTTCTGAGCACAGATAGCATTGGGTCTATGAAGCCCATTTCCGCAATTAGGATTGCATGAAGTACAATGTCGAAGGCTTTTTTAACGTCAGGGAGTGTCATATGCACCGCCATATTTCCGTCGAAGTAGGATGTCTGAGTGTCCCATACTATGAGGTCCTATGCGTACGAACTTCCTCTCCGAAACTTGTGTTTAGCTTCATGGAGGAGACTTTTCTTGTCCATGTACTCCCTCATTTGTTCATTCACCAACCCTTTCATTACCGTCGATAGTACTGCTGATAATGCGACTTGTCTGTTATAGGCTGGATCCTTCCTTTCTCCTACTTTGAAGATTGGAGTGAGAGTAGCTTGCTTCCATTCAACTGGGAATATGTTAGACTCAAGTGAGAGTCTGAACAGGTTTGATATCGGTGAAATAGGGGTTTCTGCACACTGTTTGAAGACTGTGAGGTTTGATTCAGATATCTAATATACGTCTCACGAGCTAGCAATAAACAGTTACCTTTCTTGTGCTCGCCTTTATAACAAGCAAATAAATTTCTTTGAATCGTTTGAATATGCTGAGGAAATACTAATAAATACAGACAAGAAGGTAAAGAAGTTTTTAAAACTATGGACTTCACCGAGTAACCAAGTTCTGAAGCGTGAATGTGGGCGAGTAACATCTATGTAGTAGTATAATAACATGAACAGTACCATATGGCAGTTTAAATAATGCAGATACTGAGCTAGGTAAGCACCCATTCTCTTCAAACACATTCTTCATGTCCAAGGATGTAATGAAAGTAGTGAAAGTATTGAGAAAATGAATCATAAAACCTAATTAAAAAGTAAGTTTTGTCACCATTTGTAATATCTTGTGATTCCATGTATTCTGCTCAAGTAATATCTTGACGAAATAATTTTTTCTGATGTTTTTTTCGGTACTTCTACTTATAACTTCCATGTTGCAATTGTAGTAACTCTACTTTATGAAGAGAACGCGTTTCGGATCTATATTGCGCATTCCTACATTAGGGATGCATATATTTGTATCTGTGAACATTTACACAGAATATAACTAAAACCGACATGTTTGTAAATATTTGACGCAAACACTAAATATAAATGGATTTCTACCGTAGCGGTTCAAATGGTTTCCAATAAGTGCAACCTGAACGCGTATCTCCCGGTCCAAGGTCCAAGAAAACACAATAATCCTAGGAGAAAACGGTCTATATTAATTAAAAGATGGAAATACAAAGCAATACCTGGAGTTGATGCACCTTCCAGGTCACAATTACTCCGAAGAGTATCCAAGACAAAGGTAATAAGTCCAACCGCCACCGTATCAATCCAAATATGGCTGTGGCCATAATAAAGATCAAATTTAAACAACATATATACAGTTCAGAAGCAAACATAAAAACTTCAATATAAGTACAAAATATAGAAATAATAACAATATACAATGATAAAATGTCAAATTGGAATCAAATAAAATACCAAATATGTCAACAGAAAAAGTCCGTCATGTCATAACAAAAATATGTAAACATGGAGGGATTTTCCAAAAAACAAAACATTCAAAAAGGATTCTACACTAACCTCTTTAGTTCTATTTGACGTATTCCCGACTGATGGAACTCGGGTATTCTAACCAGGTCATGCGTCCTTCTAGTGCATTTACAACTAGTTGATTCATATTACATGCACTCCGAAACATCGGCTGTGTT